GTGCTTATCCTGCGATGCGACATTCCATGGCAATGGGGCTTAGACACCCAACTCTCGCTTTACACCCTTGCTAGCATCATTTCGAATGGCCTAGGATCAGCGGAATCTGCTGCTAATTAGTTCGAAAATCTGCTTGATTCCGTCCATGTATTCTCAGGTTGTACCCTTGTTCCTAATGTCTGTTTCTAATTTTGCCGCGTTGTCTCCTGTCAGCCCAGTGTTTACCTCTCAGGTCATTGTTGCATGGTCTCTGTCGTCACTATCCCCCATAGTTTCGTTACAATATCTCAGCCGTCCCTGTTGTCCATATTGCTACCTCTTCCTCCTACTCCCTTCATGATCTCTGCTGCAATGACTTCGTTCGTTCAATTCTCATGAATGCGCCATTTGCATAATCACTGTAATGATGCAAGTAACCATATTTGACCCATGTGAAGAATGCTTCGATGAAAATGTGAGTTGCGCTAGCTGACTCTTGGTAGGTCGCATCATGAGAAAAATACGTTCGAGAGGCTTGGAAACGTTTGGCTAACCATGCGAAAAGCCACAAGTATTAGTAGCCTGTGTGTTTCTCTTGCTATCTGCGTCGTCGTCGGCATCTTTGTTACCAATGTCGTCGTCATCGTCGTCTGCATCGTCTTTATCGTCGAGTTGTCCTCGTTTATACCCTGGTGGCGTCTTCGCTGCCGTCACAATTATTAGTATCACACTTATCTAGTACTATGTCACCATCCGCACGAATTGCGAGAAATACCCGCCCGAGTAGCAAAGCTCTTAGGAAAGGCCACAAACACAGCAGTAGTATACTGAGCTTGAAATTGCTTCATATCGTGATTGTCTCTCTGATGGATGGCAGCATAGTATATCTGCCTTGGAAATGTTCTTTGCTTTGATCGAGGACTGAACACCTTACAACGACCCCCTCTATCACATCACCGCAGAACATGAGACAGTTTTTCTTTCTATGTTCTTTTTTTCATTATTCATCGAGTCGTCTATCTAAGGGCGTCTAAGCCCGCTCTAATATCCACATGGTATCAAATATTTAAAGCTTGCGAACGACGCGGTTAGCAGCCTCCTTCTCCTCCTTCTCGTCCCAAATGTTGATGTTCCAGCGGGGCTTGTAGGTGAAGGGAATGTTGTAGCGGCGAGGCTCCTTGCCGATCTCGTTGATGGCGGCGACGTCCTCATCGGAGATCTTGACCTCCTGGAAGTTGGAGTGGATGCGGCTGGGGGTGACGGACTTGGGGATGACGGAGTGACCGCCGACCTGGGACCAGGCGAGGACGACCTGAGCGGGGGTGGCGTTGATCTTCTCGGCAATCTTCTTGACGACGTCGTGCTCAATGAGCAGGGGCAGGCCGAAACCGTTGTTACCGAAGGCGGAGTAGGCGGTGATGTGGATGCCCTTCTCCTTGGCGTACTTGATGAGGGTGTCGTTCTGCTGGAGGAGGGGGTGGCGCTCGACCTGGTTGACGGCGGGGACGACGCCGGTGGCGTCGATGATGGTCTGGAGGTCGTCGATGGTAAAGTTGGAGACACCGATGGCCTTGACCTTGGACTTGGGCAGGGCGATCAGGGCCTTCCAGGTGTCGACGAGGGAGACGCCCTGGTCGAGGTCGACCTCGGAGTCGTTGCCGGCGGCCTTGGGGAAGAGCTCGCCGCCGTTCTTCTTGAAGGCAACGGGCCAGTGGATGAGGTAGAGCTGCCAGAGTCAGTGGGTTTCGGTAGTGAAAGGTAGGTTGTACTCACGTCAAGGTAGTCAAGGCCGAGCTCCTGGAGGGTCTCGTCAAGAGCAGCCTCAACGTTCTCGGGGCGATGGTTGCTGTGTTGCTGTCAGTAAACATGTCTTATTTCACGTACCAAGGTAACTCACTTGTTCCACAGCTTAGAGGTGATGAAGATGTCCTCACGCTTGAGGCCGGGGATGTCAGCAAGAGCCTTCTTCAGACCCTCACCAACCTCGGGCTGGTTCTGGTAGATCTTGGCCAAGTCCTGCCGTAGCTGTCAGCTCCTGCCCCTTACATGTCTTTCAACGTTTGCCGATGCTTACAAGGTGACGGTAGCCTGCCTTGAGGGCCTCGTAGACACCAACAGAGACTTCACCGGGCTTGGACTGCCAGGTGCCGTATCCCAGAGTACTGAAATGAGGGGTCAAAAGTCAGTGAAGCTCAAAACGTGAAGCGGGGTACGGCGATCGGCAGGGGCCTGAACCAGAAGAGTTCAGATCACTGTAAACAAGCAAACGTACGGGATCTCGGCGCCGGAGTTAAGCTTAGCCTTGTTACCGAAAGACATGATGACTTGAGTTTGAGGAAGAGGTTGTGAGATGGGATGAAGAGTATCGTGAGGATCACAGAGATCGTGAACGGAGAGGAGGAACAAGTAGGTGGCCTTTTAAGCAAGTGAGGGGTTTCGGGGCCCATTGCATCATTGTTTGTCAGGATGAGCTGCGAACCCTGATGGGTGGGCGGCCGTGACGCCCACCGTCGGACCCGCTTTGCCCGCTTTGATGGCTCCGAGCCCACGACTCTCAGAGTGCCAACAGAGCTTCCAGTCGCTTCGGCGGGGCACCGTTGACTAGTCGCGCCTGGGGACCCCACACTTCGGGGCGGGAGCCGATGCCGGAGGCGGGTATGGAGGGGGAGGGGCTTCGGGGCTTTAGGTATGATGGAGGAGGGGAACATGTGGTTCTTGCGGATGGTGGTCGCCGTGGCTGAAGGCTGATGCGAGTTCCCGGCTGTACGCGGAAACGGGAGCGGGAGCGGATGCAGCCAGATGCGCCTCCGGCTGCAGTCTACTATGCGTTGCTTTGCATGCAGCAGGTTGACACCGCCGATGGAGAGCATGCAGTAGTAATCATTTTGATTATTTCCCAACGTAATAGAGATTCACCAAAGTCCTTCTGTCTGGGTCGATGGCACCTCGCTTCCAGGCCCGGGTCCCTGGGACGGGAAGGAATTGCGTCTTAGCCCTCATGCATGTCGTCTTGGACGGCCCGCATCTTGGCGCCATGATGTGCGGCTTTGAAAGATATTGCGGGAATGACGAACAGTATTGCGCACAAGAAACTGCCGACTCGTGCGATCTCGGGGCCACAAGATGGTACAAAAAGCCCCGCAGCGGGTCGCAAAGAAGCGCACAAATGAGAGATGATATTGAGGAGTGGTAATAGATAAGGCTAGTTATCGATGATCTCATCTCAAACGCTGGTGGCCGAGCTAGGTGATTCAACCGTACCCAACGGCGATGTCTCGTATGCTGTGCAACAAGGGCGTTCAGCGGCTACTTAACGGGAGGACGGAGAAATGCCGACATGAACTAAGCCATTAACGGACATCCAGCTGCCACAAAAAAAATGATGATGATTTGATATGATGAGTAGTTCATTGAGACGATCACGTCGCGTCGTTATTTCAACCATTTTGAATCTGATAGTTGGTGATTGACTTGATGAAGACACATCCTCCTGTCTTGCTGAACCAATCCCATTCGTGCGACCGCGCCGTCTTACATTCACTCACCCTCCAAGCATCCATCTCATGCATCGACGTTGAAAGAAGAGTCTCACCTAGGAGCCAAGCCCGAATCTGACAATATCTGCATCCAGTCAGCATATTCATCCAATCCGAAGCATAGATGACCTCGCTTACCGGCCGCTGGCGGCGGAACACGGCACCGATCCTCAGGGGGCAGCAGTGTGTTTACTACCTAGACCCCACTGTTGATGACTATCCTATTGAATGCTACATGACCCGACGCCAAAAGATACGTCTCTCAGATGCCCCAATTGTACTTGAGTACCAAAGAAGATGGAATCTGTGATTGAAAAAAAAGTATTTAGCGTTGCTGTGCATGCGTTCAATGGCTCTGCCCCGCGCTGGGGCTTTCTGACGTAGTGTTGTATTCAATGGGATGGAATGAGAGCGTCGGGTGTCCCGAGATCTACTCGCGCGCTTCTCTGAAAAGCTAAAAATGCACTTCAATCCAAGCACGCTTTTCTTCTTCTTCCCTTCCTACTTTGATCTATATTTTCGCACAGCAGATTACTGCTGGTAAGTTACGCTGAACTGCCTCATTGGCTTTCGAACTGACCCCTGCAAACATGGGGGCGCGGGTTCTCCTTTTTCCAAGTCTCCACGGTGTATGTCCTACTCGCTCTATGCGCATTTGAGATACTTCACGGTCTAGTTGTATCTCTCCATTGCATCACAATAGCTGTCATCGTTATCTTGGTAGTTCCTCGGGGGCGTTGGTTGTAGCTCTCAGATCGTCTTGTGTTCCAGAGCCCCAAGGACATATGAGCCTTTGAAGGAACAGCAACCACCAATCGTTCGATTTTGAATTGAGCAGGTGTCTAAGCCGTGAGTTCATCGCAGCCACCGGAAGCGAACAGCTAGTCTTTCCGAAATCTCTATGATACTCACTGACAGTTGCCGAACCTCGTTGGCATGCATCTACTGTGATGACTCGTTAGTAAGAGTGGGTGCTGCATTTTTTTAATTATCCCATCGGCTGCCACATAGCACTTGACAAACCTGCTATACCACTAATAATCGCAACCTGATTGAATAAGCTATTCGATTGGTCAAGAAAATGAAAACTCGGGGCGTGGCCGATGGGATACGGACAAAAAGGGCACTGACACGCGTTTCCCTGATTAGCTGAACTCTGTTAGACATCAATCATCATCAGAAAACAACAAGGCATATCTCTGAGAAGATACGGTATTTTGGCCCTTACTCGCAATACTCTAAGAAAGCGAAAAAAGGAGCGATTCTTGTCAGTCACCAACGGCCAGCCCGAACAGCTAGTTCCCAAGGGGGCAAGAGCAAACACCTTCACGCCGTGCGTTTTACCAGGCAGTATAAAGTATACAAAGAGCCAAATCGCTGCGTCTAAGTCAGCTATGAATATGCAAAACATTTTTCCACGGCATTCTCAGTTTACACAAAATGAAGATCACATCCCTCGTTTCCTTCCTCGCCGTCGCCGTCGCTATGGCGCAAGCGTGCGACTACTGCCAATGCCAGAAATCCGATGGCAGCCACTGCTGTGTAGCGCACGCTAACGGCAAGACATGCGACGAGGTCTGTAAGCCTGCTGTCTACAGCCTTAGCGCTAATGGAGACAGGCTATCCTGCAATGCTGGTGGTGCTTCGAACTGCATTTCACCAGCCTCGTACTCAGGACGGGACCGATGTATTGTGTGTATTTTCTAGTTCTCTATCATAGTAGGAAGCTAACTTTGTTATAGTAAAACGCACCAGAGTTCGGTATGAACAGGCGCTCAAGACTTTTCATCGCTGCCCTGCTATAGAATGGGCTCTGCAGCCGGATGTCAACATAGATCGGAACGTGACAGGAGATTGGGTGGTATGGAGCGTGGTTATTTGGGTCGTTTGGGCGTTTTTAAAAGTTACATCAGCGGTTGTGGCGACTAAGTAGACAATCATTTGAGCCGTGTTCAGTTTACCACTGAAAAAGGTCTAACATTATCTGCATACAGTTCCAGTTCGTGACTTGTTCAAAAGGCCAAATTAGCCAGGAGCCGTACACATGTTACGCCGTATCGCTGATGCTCCGCACTTATGGCTTGCTTCTTGGAAGTAGGCTGGTATCTGGGCCTGCAGCCGACTACCTATTCTGCTTTGCAGGTACTATTCTCCCATGGAGTGCGAGTGGACTGCAGGCGTGCTGGGCAACATCCAATCAACTCACAGGCAGAGAGATCGTCACTTTTTTCTAGTAAATAACAAGTTTCGTGGTTCATCAGAATTCGAGAAAGACTGGAGGTCTAAGTACTGCAGTCTGGTTGCACTCCATGGAATTTATCCTCTCTTACTGAGAGAGCATTTGATATTTGATTAATCCTTTCTCAATCAGCAAGCGCTGTCACCTCTTCAAGACCTCTGCGTCTCCAGACATAACAACTCTTGGCACATCTGCATCCAGTCAGCAAATACACCAAATCCAAAGCGTAGATAACCTCGCTTAGCCGCTAGTGACGGAACACGGCACCGATCATCAGGGGGCGGCAATGTGTTTGTTACCCAGACCCCCACTGTGGATAACTATAAAATTAGAGTGTTGGGGGTCCGGATGTCTCCTCGGTCGCTTCTCCAAAAAGCTAAAATGCACCCGAACCCGAGCAACACTTGTCTTCATAGAAACATCAATCGCGGCATGCTCATCATGAAGAAGACAGTGTCTTATCAATCCCATCTCAATCAGCAAGCGCTGTCACTTCTCTGAAGGCCCCTTCATCTCTAGGCATGACAACTCTTGGCAACTCCGCTCCAGGCAAGGGCATGCAACCCGTCCCGTCGCATCGGCCCCCTTTCCATTCCACAAAAGGCGCGCCAACAAGCGTTGGTTCAGCCCCAAGACTGGTCGCCAACAGCAGCAAAACATGTCTATTGACCCTGCCGAGCGCCTCGCTAACCACTATGCGATGGACAGAATTGTCTTGGCAGGGATGGGCATGGTTCGCAGGAGTAGCCTGGCGGTGGCCCCAGGATTTCCCGACTGGGATTTGACTTTGCCCTCCATGTCTCATATTCACAAAAACGTTGTTCCAGAACCCCCGATGCTACCGCCGGCCGGCGGCTGTTCTTTGCGCGTTTGTTAACACGCTGGTCATCTTCTCCCGACCTCACAACCTCGGAAGCTCTCGCTCTGGATGATAGATACGCCTTGACCCGACGACAACGACATCTCGTCGCTGAAGCAGCATCACCAGCTATCGACCATATCTCATTCACTTCATCTCGTCGCGTCGTTTTAGAAACCATACTTATCTTGCGACATCTTGCTTCATCGACTCCCATGACTCGATCTTAGGTCCCTCTCCCTTGGCTCACCATCGCCTTCAAACGACTGCAATTTTTCATCATCATCAGATACCCAGCACCTCACTCCTAATCTCATCCAACATGGCGGCAATGTACCGCTGGACTCGCGTCCGCACGCTCGCCATCACCCTCACCTTCGGCGGCTGTCTCCTCTACTACTTTTACACATCATGGGCCCGCTCCGAGTCCGCCGCCCTCGAGCGCTACATGAACCTGCACAACATCGCCCCTCCCCCGGCCACCCCACAATCCAGCTTCGACTGGTCCTCGGTGTCGTACAAATACCCTCCCAAGACGCCAATGACCCCGCTGCCCAAGGGCCGCCGCCCCTCCCTCCCGCGCGTGCAGCACCAATTCCCCGCCGAGTCTGCCGCAGCCGCCCGGCTCCGGGAGGCCCGCCGGCACGAGGTCCGCGAGCTGTTCAGGCGCGACTGGGCGAACTACAAAAAGTACGCCTGGATGAAGGACGCGCTCAACCCCATCTCCGCGACCGCCAAGGACCAGTTCTCCGGGTGGGCCGCGACACTGGTGGACTCGCTCGACGTGCTCTGGATCATGGGACTGAAGGCGGAGTTTGAGGAGGCCGTCGCTGCTGTTGCCACGATTGACTTTGGATTCACGAATTCGGACCGCGTGAACACGTTTGAGACTAATATCCGGTATCTGGGCGGCTTGATGGCGGCGTACGATCTTAGTAAGAGGAAGGTGCTCCTCGACAAGGCCGTTCAGCTTGGCGACCTACTTTATGGGGCATTCAACACTGAACATCGCATGCCCGTGGACTTCATCAACTTCAACGACGCCAAAGCCGGAACGGGTCTGGACGTCGAGAGCTCCGTCGTCTCAGCGTCGCCCGGGACGCTCTCACTTGAAATGACGCACTTGTCGCAGCTCACTGGCAACCCGAAGTACTATGACGCCATGTCCAAGGTAATGGACCTCTTCCACGAAGGCCAGAAGAAGACCAAGATCCCAGGCATGTGGCCCATGTTCGTATCCATGCGGAACCGCGACGTCGTCTCGGGCTCGCAGTTCACCATCGCTGGCTGCGCAGACTCGCTGTACGAGTACCTCCCCAAGATGCAAGCGCTCCTCGGCGGGCTGGAACCCATGTACGAGGACATGACGGAGGCCTTCCTCAAAGCCGCCAACGAGTCCTTGTTCTTCCGACCCATGCTCCCCGGCAACGAGAACATCCTGATCTCGGGCAATGCCAACGTCGACATAGACGGGAAACTATTCCTCGACCCGGAGAGCGAGCATTTAGCCTGTTTTATCGGCGGCGTCTACGCCCTGGCCGGGAGATTACTTGGCAAGGAGGAGTCGGTGACGATCGGGGCGCGACTCACGCTAGGATGCTACTACGCGTATCAGGCCATGCCGACGGGCATGATGCCGGAGCGCTTTAATATGCTCGCGTGCCCGCGCAGAGATGAGTGCAAGTGGGACGAGGACCGGTGGGAGAAGGAGAAGAGGCTGCGGCCCGAGTTCAAGGAGCACCTCCCCAAGGGCTTCACCACCGCCAAGGACGCGCGGTACATCCTGCGCCCGGAAGCCATCGAGAGCGTCTTTGTGCTGTACCGCATCACGGGCGACCGGGGCTTCCAGGACGCGGCGTGGGAGATGTGGAAGGCCGTCAGCAATGGTACGCTCGTCGAGCATGGTAATGCGGCGGTGCTGGACGTCACGAAGAAAGCGGACCCGCTGCCCAAGGAGGACTACATGGAGGTAAGAAAGAAAAGACCCATCTCCTTCTTCATTCAACAGAGGACTTACTGACCGACGAGAAATAGAGTTTCTGGCTTGCGGAGACGTTGAAGTACTTCTACCTCGTCTTCTCGCCGCCTGACCTCATCAGCCTCGATGAGTACGTCCTCAACACAGAGGCCCATCCCTTCCGAATACCCCACTGAGGTCTGGTCACTTGAGTCTTAGTGCCAAAAGGCCGGATATGAAGACGGAGGGTTGCGTCAGCCTGTGCTCAAAGGAGGCACGAAGCAATGAATCCCTCGCTGAATGTGAGACGGACGTGGTCATTGCTGAGGCGACGTCCAGATGAACATGTTGATGTTGGCGAGTAATGACGGAGTTACTTTTTTTCTTCCACAGTGGGGATCGCTCTTCCTGCCCCCAGCATGCCTCGTGGTGATGGGGGTCCTTACGCGAATTTCGTCGGGCGAATTCATGCTTTTTTTTACCCTCGACCAACCAACAGATGAGAGGGCTCTTAACCAACGCTCCGCACACCAAAGCGTGGCGGTGATCGTGCTTACGCGGCGCAGGCTTTGGGGGACAGGTTTTGGAAGGAGAGAGTTTCTTGGAAGTCTTGGGGATACGTCACCGGAGTTGCCAACAGCTTCCTACAGGAGAGAAGCACACGCTTTACAAAAGGCATACCGCCAAGTCGCGGGGCTACATTATCTTAGATCTAAATCGTAAAGGCGGCCGTACAAAATACCAAATATCAGGGAACACCATGAATCTAGTAAACCCCTCGATGGGAGGGCAGTGAAATCGCAGGAGGACGCAATATGGGTGGGACATCGGCGCCGAAGACCTGGGCCGAGCGCCAGTGGCATATTGGGGCAGGCTGTAAGCTCTCGACCGGAGATCTATTGAAGCTTGTTTTAGAGTGCGCATATTAATCTCGTAGTCAAGCAGTCGGACTGGACCCACGCTCGCAGAATCTGGCAAGAGAGCACACGACAGTCGGGGCAAGTTGACCACTTTGATCGCTTGTGGTGAGAATCCTCCGGTCATTGTCACGATGGACGGGCCACAGGTGTCACCAATCATCGAATGAACACTGCCAGCTATGCAGGCATTTAAAATTAAACTAGAAACCTACTACACAGTATATTTCCAGAATAGGAATCGTCTCGCATCATCCTCAGCTGTCGCTTGCGTCCCATCCGGCACATCGCTGCAGCGGCGATCAGTCACTGCCACATGAGGCCTGCCCCGATCACTCATCACGACGGACAGCTCCGCGCCATCTAATCTAATCTCGCACGTCTCTACAGCTCAGTCTCAACTGCCCATCATCATACACATTTCTGCCAAGTACATCCACACAACATGCTGTAAATAACCGTGTAATCTCTCAGTGTCATGACAAAGTGAGGCTTGTTCATACTAGCTGAACTCATCCCGCCGGGCAACGCATGAATCGCGTCCGGGACGATGACCGCATCCGCGCCCTACAAGCTCTCTACAGCGCTCCTAAAGCCCCCCAAACCCCGGTCCTAACAGGCTCCAAAATTGCCCGTAGAGAACCCATCTCATTGCACCGTTGTGAAGAACAACGACCATCCCCCCACCTTTCCCGCCAAGAACGGATTGAAACGCCTCCCATCGCCAAGAGCATG